GCCAAAAAAGGGGGAACCACACCCACCCAGTCACATGGCCACACCCACCTAGCCATGCTCACAGAACCAGTTGTACAAAATTTGAATCCCACTCGTGCTAGTAAATGCATCTTTGAGATAGAGACTGATGTTACCAGCTCTGAAAAAAGCAGTAGTTCATCTTTTCCGAAAAGAGCCATTACACAGTCGAGTTACTGCAGACAATTCACCTTTCTGTGGAAATTTGTTAAGAAGATAATGTGACAGCAATTACAAAGAATTTTAGATTAAGTACACTATCCTTTCCTGTTTGGGTTCAGGTCTGGTCCAGAGACTCCCCCCCCCCCAAAAAAATGGTGGTTCTTGGGGAATGCACCTTTCCTTGTATTGTTTGATGTTTTAGCAGTATTCAGTACCACCAACTATGAAAATATTTTTAAATCATCTGTTGCAGATTAAAATTCTGGTACTGTGGTAGTTTTACTTCATTTTGAATTCTCAATCCCCATTCACATTAGTAGGAAAGAAGAGGATGACTGGACCTCTCCCCTTTCTCCTTTAATATCTATATGAAACTGGCAGAGACCACACAGAGCTCAGTTCAGAATAAAGTAGTAACAACTGAAGGTACTCAGCTGTGGAGTTTTAAAGAAATTGCTGTGGAGGTGCTTGGAAATTGTAAAGGAATTGTCAGAAAACCGTGGAGATGAGTTGAAGGGAATATTCAGGAGCTTTCATAGATAACAAGGAGGAAGCATCCATTAGCAGAGAAAGGAGGTAATGTTAAAAAGCTAGTGAACCTGGGGCATCCCTGATAAGAGGGAGGGAAACTCAAAACTCAAGCAGATTTGTAAAAATTATTTTCTATAGCCAATCTCAAATATGGTATAGTTCTAGTCTTCCTGTGGAGTCAGTTTGCAAATTTGGTCTATTTTGTGCTGCTGACAAGAAGAGATGGAACAATTTTAGGATAAATCCCAACAGGACAAAAATCTTCTGAACCCCAGATATCCCTCCCTTGGTAAATGGTGTGCTGTTACCCCTGAAGAAACTGGTGCATAAGTGGGGGGGGGTGTTTCCTATTGGATTCATAATTCATATTATATCAACAGTTAGAGACCATATCCAGGAAGGATTTGTCCAGTTTTGCCATTATGCTGTTTTTCTTATTTCAGTAGTTATTGGCAATAGAATTGTTTGCATGGATTACTGCAATTCAGTCTACAATAGAGCTGGCTTGGTTGCCAATAGGAGTTTCAGTCAGATGGGTTGAGTGTTGCCTGTAGTCTGTATATTAATAAAATTTGTTACATTCTTTCACTGGCAAAATTTTGACTTACGATGCAACAATTTTTGAACCAAGGTACCTCAGATAGGTTAGGCGGCCAAAATCCAGGATTCATGACTCCAAAGAGAGTAAAATTTGGGGAAATTGAGACTGCTGCAGGGTTGCTGTAATCATATTATCTTTCAATATTTCACAATTTCCCATCTAGTCTCACAATCCCTCCCTCCCTTCCCCACCCAGCACAAGGCTTTTAAATTTATTTCAATGATATTCAAAACAGCATAGAATTGAAAATTGGTACACTCCACAATGATGGAATGAAGCTCTACATTGTGTCCCTTCGACTTGCAAAAGAACAAATTTGAGACATGCCAGACTTCCATTGTCATTGATCCTGACCAGAAATCAGCATTTGAACATGAGAGATTTAATGCACAAATCGGCAATGAAATTATCATCTTTATACCAAACAATATCATGTCATGCCCCTGTTAGAATCTGACTCGAAGGGAAAAGAGGAACAGCTGACAGAGAGTGGGAGTGTGGCTCCAGAGGTTGTGGAGGAAACTGGGGAAAGGCACAGGCTGGCTGGGCATTCAGAGGAAGACCCAGGCCCATTCCCTCTTCATCCTAGGGCATGCAGGGAGGAGCAGATAAGAGAGAAGTGTGAATGGAGGAAAGGGCCTTGATCCCCTTCATGGGCTGCAGCTCTGAGGACTGTTTAAAAGGACAAATTGTGCATGGGCCAGTGCTGGAAGCAAAGCGTGAAAATATTTCTAGTTTGTCAGTTCTTATCTGAGTTCTGGCATCCTTCCTAGTGTGCGTATTTCAATATCTGTGGACGTCTTCAAGCCCTTATCCTGCCTTGTCTCATTAATGTTTATTTATTTATTTATTTTTATTTTGTCAAGCGATTATAAGATAACAGGTATAAGTATAAACATAGTTCTGAATACATGAAATGGATACATATAAGAAAAATAAAAAGACACAATAGGACAGGGACGGTAGGCACATTGGTGCGCTTATGCAACAAATTGCTTCAGTGTGGTTTGTGTTGTTTTTGTCTATTTATAATTTATATATTTTGAGTTTGAAGGAAGTTCTTCTTTTCACTGTTTGATTGTTTGTGGGGGAGGTTTTTCTCCAGTCAATGATAATTGGACCTTTGAAGCCAAGTGGAAGGAATTAAAGGGACTTCACCTGTTTTTGTGACTTTGTTGCTTTTGTCTCCCACCTTGGGTCATCACAGAGCATCACAGAACATTATTGCTAGAACGAGGAGATAGTTTGCAAATAATTTTAAAATCCCATTGCTGCTCTGACAGTTTTCAGTACATACATTTCTTTCCTTTTGGAGGTAATGGCTCATCTCATCAACTCAAAATGACAGCAAAAAATAATGGCAATGTGTTATGTATATTGAATAATAAACCATGAGAATGAGATTAATAATCTTCTAAATCATGGCCATCTATTCCAACAATATGTTGTTGAGATGGCTGCTAAGATTGAATATGAAAGGCTGAGTTACATCCAAATGAATCAAGTAACCTTGAATCAACAATGTACAAAGTATTTACTGATGCATTGATAGTGTGGGTGATTTTGGAACATGTATCATCCTCTTTTCAACATTTCTTGGTGAATTAAGATATATAATGAAATGCCAAGATGTCATGACTTTACAAGCAGGAGTGGGCTGCTGAGGGTTCACAGGGGTTTGGGAAAGCCCCCTAGCTAAGCTTCTGTGCAATTCGGGGAACCCCCATATCCCACTCCTGGCTGTCCAGCCCATCCCGCCCCACTCCTCCCAGGAGTCCCCATGTGGCCAGTTTGGGATGCAGGTAAGTGTAGGGCACGGAGCCTTGGGGAAGGCAAAAAATGGGCCTCCCAGAAGTTTGGGAAGGCCAGAAATGGGTCCAATTCCGGCTTCCAGAGAGCCTCCGGTGTCCGGGGAGACCATTTTCGCTGTCCCAGAGGCTCAAGAAAAGCCTCTGGAGCCCAGGGTGGGCAAAAACGCCCCCCCACCTGGTGGTACAGACTAATTAGGCCATGCCCACCATGGCCACACCCACCCAGCAACCGGGCAGAGAACCCTTTGCTAAAATTTTTGAAGCCTATCCCTGTTTACAGGAATCCACATCTAGAAGCTGTTGGCTATTTCTCCCACTTTGACTTCAAAGTTCTCTATTTTCCTACTTACATATGGGCAAAATATGTTAAACTAGACCTAGCTCAGCCACCAATACTTTATCATTACGGCCTAAAGAAATACTCATTTGTTACAGAGTAATGGCTAAATGTTTAGTTCCCTAACCTACCATAACTCACTTTCCGTGTTATCTATCATACTTTTAATTTATCCTTCTTCCAAAATTTTCTGTTCATACTTTTTGAGCTCTTCTAGATCCTCTGGTTTTCTCAGCTGTTTTTCCCATTCTAGTTCCACAGCAATTCAGTTCAATATAATTGATATATAGGAAGTGAGAACATCTATGAAGAATTTAAGTACTTGGACGGTGGAGGCCTAAATGTGATGTGGAGCATTCTGCAAAAATTCATTTAACTCATTTATTTAGTTTCATTGATTCATTTTATCAATTTCTATTAACAAGAGGAGGATAAGAATGAGCAATCTTAGGATAGCCGAGAGCAGATGTCAATCAACTTTGAGAGCCAAAAGCCACCCAGGGCAAGCTATTTATTCAAAGCGCTGATACCTAAGGAGGCCTGAAGTTTTTTTAGATTTGCTCTTCTTATACGTCTGTGAGTTTGATTTTTACCCTATAATTTAGGCAGATATTATAGTTTTTATATATTTATTGAATCAAAATGATAGAAAAGAGAAATTTAGTGGCTTCCAAGCATGGCAGAAAAAGTATTTAAACATGGGTGGGTAGAGTTAAAAGGAAACTTACAGAAGTTATTCTGTAAAATAATATTCATTGTTCTTGCATAAAAAGTTAATTCTAAAAAGTATATAATTTGGTGTTTCTGGATTTAGCGCTACTATTGGACAGAAATGGAATAAGAATTACATGTGTTAATGATTTGTAGACACAAGTGGCTGATGCCGTAACAACCTCCTCCTGCTTCTATAGATTTCAGGTGATGAATTCACTTCATTTGATGCACGCAAACAGTAGGCATCACATGGTTTGGAAGAAGGTTGAATGAACTATCAAACTACTCTCTGTAATAAGGAACTGAAATAATCTACAAACAAATTAACTAGGCACTCATGTGACTCCTCTCCAGCACATCTCTCTTTTTTTTTTAGAACACTTAGTGCTTGTAGTTATGAATATTTTTTATGTTCTTTATGTAGTGAACTTCTTAGAATTGAATGTTGTTGCTTTGCAGACCCTGATAAATCATTAACTAATTCAGTGCATTAAAATTTACTCTGAGTATTAACACCCTGTTGCAAATTTTCTGGCATTGTGTCATTTTTCATGAAGCTCATTTCCAAGGGAAACACCCAAACTATGTTATCTTCATTTCTTTAAAATATTTTAGCAGGATTTTTGTAATTAATTTGTTTTTTTAATGCTGGTTTTGTCTCTTTATTGATGTTGCTATATTGTTTTAAGAAAATTTTATGATTACAGGTAGCTTTGGGATTACAAAAATAAAAAATATATAGATGTTCAATGATAGTATACTGCATGCACAAGGACTAGGAGACAGTCTCATTTGTCTTAAAATATTTCAATGTTTTATTTTACAGGAGGATGAAAATGAACCTGAAGGAAAACATCCCTCTCAAGAGATAAACATAGAACAGAAAAATTCCAAAAAATAGAAATATCATTCCTCTCTGAAATATGTTTTCAAAAAAATTAAATGTCATTCCTCTTTGAAATGTATTAAGTAATATCAAAGTAATTAATGTGTCTCATTGTAAAAATTATAGAACATTCCCAATAAAAGACATTGGAAATTAAAATGTATCTTACTCTGAGGAATTGTTTAAATGGCTTTTGGTAATATTTATGATTAAGAAATCATGAATTTTTCATTACACACACACACACACACACACAATATAAAAGCATTAAAATTATGTGCAGTATAATCTTTTTTGTGATACACATTTCTTGAAATTCTCCATTGTGTTATTTAAGGTATATGCTGAAAGACTCAGTAGCATTCAGAATGTATCCCATATCCCACAGCATTTCTATGTGGTTTGTGATTGATTTTGGTAGTTACAAATTTTAATAATTAGGTAATAGAAATATGACTTTTTTCTGAATTGAAATAATTGTAAACATTATTTCAAAAATAAAATAGGATTCTTTGTAAAGTTGCATCCCATTTGAGTAATTCATGTATTTAGCATAGTATGGCAAGCCATGTTGGATTAGTTCCAAATAAGAATTCAGTTGTTGTTTGTTCAGTAATAGTTTATAACTTTACATTTGCTTAATAAAACATAAATCAAACTAACCAAAGATAAAGGCAATGTGTAAATCTAAATTATTTTCTCATATTAAATTGAATTCTCATTGTAGATGTTCATGATACATTTTTCCTCTCTTCCTTTCACTTGGCTCTTCATTTTACTTGGCATCTGTTTTCACTTTTGGATAGAAAATGTATCTTTTAATCCAGCATTATTATTACTGATGTCAGAAATCTGAAAAACAATTGGAGGCTTCCTTGTATGACTTTTAGATTTTGATTTTCAATTTGATGAAAAGAAATTTTAGATTAATGGATCAGTTTTTTAAAGTTTTGCTCAAGGCTGCAATGTCCATTTCCAAATTTTACATTCAGTCCAAAAGAATGCATGGTCAAAAGCTTCCAAGAGGTCAAGAAAAAAAGGATGGCTGAATAAAGGATGGCTCCATCCTGTTTTTGCCGTAGATCATTGACAAGTACAATCATTGCTATTTATATCCCATAACCAGATCTGAAATGTGACTAAAAAGGGTCTTGATAATCCATAGCATTCAAGATTTTCTGGAGCTGTGATACAACCACTTTTCCACCATCTTCTTGAAAGGGAAGGTAGGAAATCGGACAAAAATTGTCCAGTATGGTTAGGTCTAATCTTATGATGGCTAATCATGATTAAATTGTCTGAACTGTTTTTTTAAATTAATAATAATTAAGCACCTATCTTCTCTGTGAGGTGGCCTTTATAGTTTACTGCCTTTATTCATGGAGATTATATTGCTATTCCATTTGCTGTTTGCACCTAGCTGCACTTGGAACATAGCAAGGATGTGTAAGAAGTCCAGAAGTTTGATTCGTCTTATTCATAATTGCATTAAAAAAAACAACAAAGTTTTCCTCATGCTAGAATGATTTCACAGAAATGTGGTGTCCTAACCTTCCCGTTGAATACTTTATTCCACATCATACTTTTACTTTTGCTGTGAGATAAATCTACTATTATCTCCACTTTTCCATTCTTCAGAACTGACACAAATAGAGCTCTGCAGTGGCAATCACTCTTTCCTTTAGCAATTACAAGGCATGTACATATTGTGCACCAGTATAGAAGAGCACTGCATCATCCCTATCTTTCTAGGAAAGCGGTACTTTTAACTGTTGCCACAAGGCCATATGAAAGGTTGTAACTTAACTCTAATCTTAAGGGAAATTGTTAAGAAATGTTTCAAGCTCCAAGCTGTTAGCACTAAATTGAAGGACCAGAGTTAGCCCTGAAGACACAAATTCCCTTTGTCCTGTCATTCAACACCATATTGATGATCCTTTTGACCCCTAAACTTTCTCTTATTCTACAAACTGCCATCCATATATACATAACTACTACTGAAAATGGAGTGCAGAGATGGAAAGATGAGGCAGTGTGCAAAAAGCGCGTGCGCGTGCGCACACACACGCACACACAATCTTTTGATTGCCCCTCTTATCAAGCAGATATTTTTATTCTCTCCTGGTCAAGAAAAGAAATAAATTACATAAGAGGATTCAGGATACCATCTGTCCCTCAGCAGGATAACTCACTGAAACCAAAATAGAATGAAAGAGGACCGAATGTAGGATGGAGGGAGAGGCAAAATAAATGTTAACTAAAAAAATAACTAGTGATTTGGGCCTGCAAGGGGAAAAAAATTCCACTTCCCACGGAAGTGGTATTGAGCTAATGGTTTAGAATGCTAGCCACTCCATTTTATACCTTCTTTTCTTTTGACATGACCCAAATTGGTGCTGTTCTGAATGTGTTGCAAAGAAATCCCGAAATCCCTATCTGTTCTTTCCCACCTTATGTATAGAGAGATCTGGGATCTAGTCCACCTTCAAGCAAGGAAGTTCACCCGGTGACTGAGCCAGTCATTCTCTCTCAGCCCAGTCTGCTTCCTGGGGAGAGGGTGGTTGTAAAGAAAAAATAGGAATAGCACTATATGTGCTGCCTTGAGTTTCTTACATAATATGTAAAGACATTCAAAATATAAATGAACAATTTATCTTGATGAAATAGAGAAGAATAGGCAAATGCTTCTCTTTCAGTTTTGCTTTACAATTGGCCTGATTACTGGCATATTTATGAATTCGTATGAATTTTCATATATTTTTCTTTGCAGTAATTATATTTTAGTGTTTACTTTCCTGCAATAGGCTTTTTTGTGTGTATTCTGTTTTTTGATATGAAGTAGATTGTTTTTGGCATGCAAGTGCATTTTAGGTATAGAATTGAGAATAACAATCCAATTTCCTATTAAACTTAAAATCAAATTAATTTTTCTTTCTTTCCATCTACTGGTTGGGGAACTGAACTAGAACTTTTTCACACGACACACGCCATACCGCTGACCTCTTAACATCATTTTTACCAAGATTTAATATAACTTAAATCCTTCTAGTTTCTTTACATTACACATAATCATTAGATGAGTTATACATGTAGATATGCTTTCTACAAACAGAACATGAATCTCCTAGAAGTTTTATTACCAATCACTTATCAGAACAATTAAACTTCCTTTCCTCCAAAAATAACTGCCTTTCATTTAAAAAATATCAAATTACAGATATATTGAATTAATAATATTAATAAAAGAAAACTATTACAGTTAAAAGCAGCTGAATCAGTCACAACACTAACAAAACCAGATCAATTCAGTTAAAAGTTTGGGCAAGAGTAACATTTTTTAATGTTTAGAATCAATATATTGCTCTTTATTTAAGAATATAAAAATACAATTCTTGATTAAAATGACTCTGTTTATAACAAATAAAAAGTGTATAAAGAACATACCCAAAACAGATATTAGAACTGCTACTCATGAAATAGAAGGAAAGCATCAAATATTTGACAAAATGAAGATGTTTTTAATTTGAGTTACCTTTCAAACAATCACATGTACATCTTATTAATGAGAGGAAGATACACAAATAAATATCTTCCCCCTGAAAGGTTATTTTCTGATTATTGTCTGCCTGCTTGCCTTTTAATGTAGTGATATTTCTGTTAAGTTTGATCTTAATAATCAGGCAAAGTTAAATGGAAGGAACTATTTTGAGTATCCTGTTGCTCTGACTTTACAACTTTAAATGTCAAAAGCAATCTCTTGGAATTCTATCTGGAATCAATGGCATCCTGAACACATTTCGAAGGCATCTGATTGTGGTATCCCTTATTCTCAGATAATAGCAAGAAGTTAGAACAGGCCTTGAAAGGCATTGAATTCATGGATTTGGACCCAGCACGGCAAGCAGAAAAACTACAAGCTCCAAACCAACTCAGGTTTCTTGAAATGACCTCCAAACGCTAGGAGCTATGGCATCACCAAGTAGACAAAGGACCAAAGTACTGAAATGCAAGATTACAAGGAAAGCCTTGATACAAAGTAAGTTATATTCACACCAGAAGGTGAAGGCCTGAAATCTTCTATATAAATCTCTCCACAAGGATATAATCTTGTTATGCTTTCTGAAATGCCATGACATACCTTACATTCTACTTTGGAATTGGCTCAGTTTATATTTTGAATTTGTCCTTTCTTTCACTGATCTCTGCTGATTTTTTTTTTTTTAAATGTGGCAGTAGATGTCTTCCTGTTAGTTGATTATTCTGTTGTATTTTTTATTAATTTAACATTGATTAATATTAATTTGGTATGTTGTAATTGGCAAAGCTTTTGATCTGTCTTTTGAGTCTTGCTATTAAGATCAACATAGATTTCATAGTTTGATGTTGTTAGTTTAGGTTTTCTTTTTAAATCAATGAACTAAAAGAGTAGCCTTAATATGTTTTATTGACAAATTTGTGGCTCTTCATAAATTGATTTGGAAAACAGTTTACCCAACATAAAAGGTTAATCCTGAGTTGTTTATTCTGGCTTCTGTCTTTATTCTGGGTCCTTGCCAAAATCCTACATTCTCACTACTTTAGCCTGCTTCTGCATCAGACTAAAAACACTAATACTCACTGACACAAACTAAATAGGTTTCACACTATGAAAAAGTGAAGGTTGATTAGAAAGCAACCTAGAACGATTGTGTGACTTAAAGCAATGCTTTATCAACTTTGGCAACCTTAAGATGTATGAACTTCAACTTCCAACTTTCCCCAGCCAATATGCTGGCTGGGGAATTCTAGGAGTTGAAGTTTACACATTTTAAAGCTACAAAGGTTGAAAAACACTGACTTAAAAACAATTTTGGCATACCACGGAAAGTTCCATATATCCAAATTACTCTGTTACTTCGTCCTTGATAAAAAAAAATGCCTGTTTCTCCATGGTGGGTTCAGGGTGGATTCTATGGTGAGCTATCTGGCAAAAAGAAGCAGAATGAAAGCAAGCATGATTCTGTTATTTCTGAACAATTAAATTCCTTGTTATAAAGCCAAGTATGAGCAACCTTTTAAAACCATTGAACCATAAAAGCCATTTTCTTAAGGGTTTTAAATTTGGAAACAGACTCATGAAATTTATAGCTCTGATGAGATTCTGTTTGCCTGCAGTCAAAATGAGAACCAGATCATTGGTTTCTCAGCATGATACTATGTATTCTTGTATGCAGTAGATATCATTAGGCTCATAATAACATAACTATCATCACATAATGTCAGAAAATGTTCATGCTTGATACTTAGTTTAAAACTCCAATTTACACTTCCAGAATGCTAAATAGTTAGATTTTTTTAAAAGCACAGAATATTTTATAATAAGGCGAGGGGATCTAAGGTCACAAATGGTTTAATGCATTGTCTAGGTTTTATTTTCTTTGATCTTGTCTTTTCAAAAAAATACTTCACTAAATATGTCTTTAATGAGCAGAACACTTAAAAAGTTTAGTTCATTGCTCGATGTGGCATACCTGATGCCTAGAGCAAGAATGTTAACCTGATGTCTGGGGCAGTATTTTTTTTTTCTGTCTTTTCCACATCTAGTCAGCTATCTGGATTGTTCGATGTTGCAAATAGGTTTTTCAATGAAAAAATATTTCCCACTTAGCAC